TTATTAGGGACAGCTTGTCCTTTTTGGCAAGTACTTGTTTCAACACTAGGTCTACTTTGCCTAGCTACTTCTGGAGAGGATTCGGCCATACGTTTTTTAGTTGGTCTTTTCTTTTTTAAGATCCAGTTTGTCTCTCTGGAAAAGTTCCTCTTCATCGGTTTCATATTTTGCAATGTTATGAGTTGTTTCTGGTACATTTTTAAAAGATTTTAATTTTTCGTTTTCATTTCTCAGTGCAGTTAACTCATTGGATAATAATAAATATAAATTTTCAAGCTTTTTAATTTTATTCTGAAGTTCTGTATTTTCCTTTTCAAGTTTGATCATTTTTTCTTTATTTCCACCACCGGGAGGTGGGGTATTAGCATCAGTCATATTAATTTTAAATTAATACTATTTTTAGCGCGTATATTTATACTAATAATATAAATTTAAATTTAAATTTTTACCTTAAAATTTATAAATAAATATTTTTAGCGTCCTTTCGCGTATTTATTTATTTAGCATTTGTTAGTTATTTAGCTATATTAATTACACAATTACACAATTTGTTTAGTTTTTATAGATTTGTTTACAACACTTTTCTTGTGATTTAATTTAAGCTTAAAAGCTTTATTTGCTGTCTCTATCAGCTGTTTTTAAATGTGTGCGCATTTGAGGCAAAATTACCCACTTCAAAAACATAGTAATTCCGCAAAACCAAAAATCCGCTTTTTTACATAAAAACAATATAAATATTGTTGGGTAACAATACAAAATAACATAAAATATATAATGTTCATAAATAACGAAAGTTTTTGTATTATTGGCAACCCTGTTGCACAATGTAAGTTATTACAATAAAAACGATCAGTCTTGATCAAACTCGAATTAAAAAACAACGTGTTTTTTTGTCGTCTCTTTTTCGGTTTTAGTTTTACTAAGAAAAATTCTTCTTGGTACATTTTTTGGCGCCCAACGTGGGGCACGATAGATACTTGACAAAGTATAATTTAGACATTTGAAAGTGATATATTTAATATATATTAAATATATAATATATGTTGTATATTTAATAATAAAAACTTGAACAGTCTCATTTTCGGGCCGTCGTCGCTGTTTTGTTGGTTTGTAGCTGCCGTTCGTTTTACGGTTCTTGTATCATTTTCAGATCGTCGTCGCCGTTTTGTTGCATTGTTACTGCCGTTTGTTCTACGGTTCTTGTGCTCCATATAATTATATTTAAATTAAATCTCGTGTTTAATTCAAGGCCATCGTCGCCGACTCGCTTTATAGTTTATTGCCGTTTGTTTTACGGTTCTTGGCAGTTAGTCTGTCGCTGCTTGCTGCATTTGTTTGGAGTTCTTATACTGTTGCTGCTACTGCGATTATCGTCAATTTTCAGTGCTGTCGCTGCATGCAGAATTTACGTCGACTCTATTGCTGTTGCTGTTTATCATTTACTTAACGAGTTGTTGCTGTATTTGGTGCATTTATTTTGTACATTATATTTTTACATCACAATGGCAGAAAAATTAAAGCAGCAAAGAGCCAACACTAAAAAAAGCATGACACGAATTAAGAATTCTATTGAATCCGCAAGGAATGAGGGAAATGTACTTCCACATGCTGAACTAAAATGTCGCTTAGCGATATTAGAGGCTTACTTCAAACAGATATTGACCACGCAATCGAGCATCGAGGCCTTAGATCCAGAAGATAATTGCCGATCAGATTTGGAGGAGCTTTACATCAATGCAAAGGTGGCTATTCAATCGCAGTTGGGAGACGAGTTCCACAATACGTCAATATCTGATGGTAACATCACCATCCACCAATCAACATCGAAACTACCACCGTTACAACTACCTTCATTCAATGGTAAATATTCGCAATTCAAGAATTTTATAACGACATTTTCCCAAATTATTGATCGAGAATCAACTTTATCTAATCTGGAAAAATTTAATTATTTGCTGACTTGTCTGCATGGCCCAGCGTTAGAAACGGTTAATGCGTTTCAAGTCACAAATAAAAATTATTCAAAGGCTTTAAATAGATTGAAGGATAGGTACGACAATCCAACACTCATTTTTATGGAAAACGTATCAGCCCTTTTCGATCTTCCTGGTACTTCTAAACCGGAAGGTGATAAACTGCGAAGTTTAATCGATACTGTCTGAACGTGACATTTCACAAGCAATGTTGATTCATATTGTGATGCAAAACTGTGACGAAGGGACGAGAAGAAAGTGGAAGGAATCGTTGGATTTCAAAAGGTTGCCATGTTGGAACGATTGTAGTGCCGTTTTAGAGAGACATTGTCAATATCTTCAATCTCTGGATAAAACGTCTCCTTGTGTATCAGATGTGCACACCAATGATAAATTGTCAAAAATAAAAAAATATCACAAAGATTATGCTTTTTCTTGCAGTAAATCTTCTTGTATATTTTGTTCAAGTGCGAATCACAAGCTCAATGGCTGTGAACGGTTTAAAAGTTTATCAACTGCACAACGTTTTGACACTGTAAAGCGATTCACACTGTGCATCAATTGTTTATCAAAAGGACATCAACGTTCTAACTGTCCATCAACTTATAGATGTAAGATTTGTTCAGATCAACATCACACCTTGTTACATCGTAGCAACACCTTCAATGCTACAACACCTTTCAACTCAGTTCATCCTACTCCACAGTCATCAATGGTGTCAGCTGTAGCTACTACTTCTAGAGATGCTGTGACGCATACACATTTAGAGAAGTCATCGACAAGTAATGTCATCTTAGCTACAGCGCTATTTCTAATACAGGATGCATTTGGATGCTATCAATTGGGTAGGGCTTTACTAGATTCGTGTTCACAGGTGAACTTCATCACTAATGATTTCGCTCAAAAACTTCGCATACCCATGGCCAAGCATAATATTGAAATTAACAGCATCGGAAATTCATCGACAAGAATTACATCAAAGGTATCAACTACTATCAAATCTCGATTCACGGCTTTTCAACTTCCATTGACATTCTGTATAACATCACATATTGCGTATCAACCAGATTCTGAAATAAACATCTCAACTTGGAACATACCACCAAATATTAACCTTGCTGATGAACAATTTTACAAATCAACCCGTATTGATTTACTGCTTGGCACTGAAAGCTTTTTTAGTGTCCTGTCAGTAGGCCAGATTAAACTTGGATTAGGATTACCAACGTTACAGAAAACTATTTTGGGCTGGATTGTTTCAGGTAGATATGATGTTTCACAATGCGTTAATAATTCAACTTATCTCCTTTCATCAATTGACTCTGTCGAGGAAAAGTTAGAACGTCTATGGAAGCCAGAAGAAGTCTCGATCACTCCACATGCTTGGACTAGTGAACAACAAGTTTGTGATCGTTTGTTTTCAGAAACAGTATGCAGAACAGATGCAGGTAGAGTTATGGTAAGGTTGCCATTTAAGGATAATCCTCAGTGTTTATGCAGTTCATACGGTACAGCGTTGCGCAGATTTATTGCACAAGAAAATCGATTGTCACGGTCGCCTGAGCTCAAAACGCAATATGTTGCCTTTATGGAAGAATATCAAAACCTTGGTCACATGATTGAGGTAAAAGATCCAAATATTGATGAACCTCATTATTACATTCCGCATCATTGCGGAAGCCAACCAGCACCTCGACGAAATTAAGAGTCGTATTCGACGCATCATGTCGAACCTCTTCTCAGAAATCTCTCAATGATATTTTGATGATTGGACCTACTCTTCAAACTGAATTGTTCATCCTCTTGTTACGTTTTCGCTTATTTCGATTCGCTCTTACTGCTGACATAGTGAAGATGTATAGGCAAATTCTGATTGATCCTGAAGATAGAAAATTTCAGTACATTCTTTGGAAAAGTTCACCATCTACCAATATTCGTACTTTCCAGCTCAACACAGTTACATATGGAACAGCTGCTGCACCGTACCTTGCCATTCGTTGCCTATTGTATATAGCGCATCAATATGTGGATCAATTCAAGATTGCAGCTGAAGTAATCAAATCTTCGTTTTATGTTGATGACTTATTGCATGGTGCAGATTCTCTTTCTGAGTTACATCAAATAAGATACGAATTGGAAGCTTCTAAAACAGGGAGTTTCGAATTAGCTAAATGGCACTCAAATCATCAAGCTTTTAGAGATGACACTACTATCAAAGATCTCAATATAGGTTCGGATGTTATTACCAGCACATTGGGACTGAAATGGGATCAAGATAATGATGTATTTATTCCTTCATTTAATGTTAAACCAAACTCTATCAGCCGCATCACAAAAAGAACTATTTTATCAATTGCGTCGTCACTATTCGACCCATTAGGACTATTAGCTCCAATAACTATATCAACTAAAATATTATTGCAAGAGCTATGGCTGCTTTAATTGGATTGGGACGAATCCATTCCTCAAAATTTACATTCAGCATGGGAAAGGCTTTGTCACGATTTGTCATCATTGAACACAATTACCATTCCAAGGTACTGTCTAAAACCAAAAGCAAAAACAATTCAGCTCCATGGGTTCTGCGATGCATCGATTCGCGCATATGGTTGCAGCTTTTACATTCGCGCCACAGATGATTCCAACCTCATAGAGGTTCAACTATTCGTAGCCAAATCTGGAGTAGCTCCGCTAAAAAAACAATCGCTTCCAAAATTAGAACTTTGTGGAGCACTGCTACTTGCAAGACTTTACAACAAAATTAAATCGCTCTTCGAAAAGTTTGATACGGACGTCTATCTATGGTCTGATTCCCAAATCGTATTACATTGGCTCAAAATGCATTCGGCCACACTGTCTGCCTTCGTAGGCAATAGAGTTTCTGAGATTTAAGACCTCACCGCAGGTTCACATTGGAGATATGTCCACACAAATTGTAATCCAGCAGACATTGTGTCAAGAGGCAGCACTGTTAAGGATGTCACTAATTCTATTTGGTTTAAAGGACCTTCATTTCTTCGTCAAGAGATGTATAAGTGGCCTGCAAACAAGAACGACAACTTGGATTTTGAAGAAGTCAATAAGAAAAACGAAAAGCAGCATTCAAGGTAACTGTATCAACCAATTATGTCATAGATATTATTGATAAGTATAGCTCACATACAACGGCTCTTTGTGTACTGGCTTGGTTGTTTCGTTGGTATCATCATTATAAAAAGAAGTTCAACCGCAATGTCTTTACAGAAGTCCTTCTGTAAAGCTGATAAAGGTTGGTGGACGATTAGAATTGGCTGATCTTGCAAAAGAACGTAAACATCCTATCCTGCTGCCTAACAAATCTGAATTCGTCATACGTTATGTTCGTTACCTGCATCGTAAGAATTATCATGCTGGACCTAAGGCACTAGTGGCACTCATTCGTTTAGAGTTTTGGATTATAAACGCCAGAAAGGTTGCTCGAAGAGTAGTCAGACAATGTGTTCACTGCGTGCATTATAAGCCAAAACTATTGCAACAGATGATGGGCAATTTACCGGTAGAACGTCTCACACCGTCACGGCCGTTTGCGCGCTGTGGTATAGATTTTTGTGGACCATTCAACACGTATTTACGTATAAGAGGGAAGCCTCCATACAAAACTTATATCGCCATTTTTATTTGTATGGCAACAAAAGCAGTACACATCGAAGTTGTATCAAGTTTGTCAACAGACGCGTTCATTGCAGCATTAAAAAGAATGATTGGCAGGAGAGGCTTACCAAGTGATATATTTTGCGATAACGCAACCAATTTTGTTGGGGCTTCGAATCTATTGACAGAACTAAAGTCATTCTTGTTTAATAAAATAACCCAATCGTCTATCATTCAGTACTGCGCGTCTGAATTCATTAATTTTCACTTTATTCCGCCCAGGGCACCTCATTTTGGCGGTCTTTGGGAGGCTGCAGTTAAATCCGCAAAAGGGCACTTAGATAGAAGTTTGATGACTACTAAGTTAACATTTGAGGAGCTGTCAACAGTAACAACTGAGATAGAAGCTATTCTCAACTCTCGACCATTGACACCACTTTCGCCGGATCCTAGCGACTACAAAGCATTGACTCCTGCCCATTTTTTGATTGGATGCTCTCTAAAGGCGTTACCGGAGCGAACGGAATTTGCTAATACTAACATGCTCGACAAGTGGTCACTCATCATCGGTTTGAAACAATCATTTTTGAAGCGGTGGTCTCATGAATACATAAATGAGCTATAGATGCGCACAAAATAGACCTGTGAAATACCAAATATCATGCCCAATGCAATGGTGTTAATTCATGAAGACAATGTGCCTCCACTACATTGGCAACTCGGAAGAGTTCTGAAGGTCATACCAGGCAAGGACGAGCATGTCAGAGTAGTTGACGTACGTACCTCAAAGGGCATCATTCGCAGACCTATCCACAAACTAGCCATTTTACCTATTGAAAGTCGTTTCAAGGAGGCCGGGATGTTGGGTAACAATACAAAATAACATAAAATATATAATGTTCATAAATAACGAAAGTTTTTGTATTATTGGCAACCCTGTTGCACAATGTAAGTTATTACAATAAAAACGATCAGTCTTGATCAAACTCGAATTAAAAAACAACGTGTTTTTTTGTCGTCTCTTTTTCGGTTTTAGTTTTACTAAGAAAAATTCTTCTTGGTACAAATATGTTAATATTTTATTTTGTCAGGCACTATAATTTTATAAATTTCTTAAAGAGTCACTGTCTCGGTTTTTTTTTGTGATAAATTTAAATTAATTTTTACGTTTTACACTTACAAAAAATATCAAAGTACGCAGTGATATTTTTTGCGCGCGCACCTCAAGTCTTCTTCAAAGACGTTGTCATGACAACAAAATAATGCTTTCTGTTAAGAATATAGATATCCGTGGAAATATGCTACGTTCGCATTGAAATACAAATTTTAAGATTTTTTTCCATACAAATTCAAAAGCTCGAAAGTTCAATTTTTAAGAGCTTAAATTCCCTCGTTAAACTGGGTATAAAACCCTAAGTTCAATCCTATTAATCTCAGATCAGTTTTGACAAAGGATTCAATAGTGTCTCCTACCTTTTTTTAAAAAAAAAAATGAAATTTAAAAATATTTGAAAAGTTAAATTAATTGAAATCATGAAAAATTTATTAAAGATTAAAATTGTGAAAAAGTGAAAATTTATTGAAATTGTAAAAATTATAAAAATTTAAAATTTTATTGAAATTATAAAAATTATCGAAATTGTGAAAAAATTATATAAATTTGAAACTTATAAATTAATAAACATATTTTTGTATAAAAATTTTACTTGTTTTATTCACTAATTCACATACGCGTGCACCAAAAAACATAACTATATCCAAGCATTAGGGGTTGAAAACTCTTTCCAAACTAGTTTTATAACTTGAAATCCTTCTGACGGACCGTTCTCGAATGTTAATTTATTATACATTTGCTTAGTTATACAATTGGAACTCTCGTCAATGTTGTAAAATATTGTTGGGTGAAGTAACTCAGTACCATTATTCAGCTTGGTTGCTGTCTCCATTTGGCTGATAGTTACATCAAAATAGTGTTGTTATAATTGACACCAAATGTAGATGTTAACAATTCGATTTCTTGATATAAATTATCATCAATTCTTTCTGGAATCGTATTGAGTCTAATGATTTCATATTTTTCAATATCGGTAATTGTGAAATAACCATGAATTATGACGTTTTCAGTATCTTGAACATATTCCAATCTGTTCATCGGGATTGGTAAGACATACATTTCTTGTCCAATTTTTGTGGAACATCGAGTAAAAAGTCACTGATTTTATCATGTGAAAGGAATTCATAAATATGACTAAGTTTTAAATATACATTAAAGATTTTATTGTATTTTGAAGTAATTGTAGGCCATTATATATGAATTAAGTACATATGTGTTCAGTTTATTTCCTTCTCCGATATTATGCCAATCTTGCGTCTTTTATTAAAGCTGTTGATTTTGTTGATGATTTTAGTTTCTGTGCGGTTTACTGCCGCTATTGTGGTTCATGATTCTAGCATTTGATTTAGTATTTTGGATTAATAATTTCTAATTTTGATCCAACGTTTCAATCTAGTGACACACTTCATCGTTTACGCTAAAAAGTGTTGGTAGCACTGTACCTAATATTTCTCGGGGCCTTCTTGTAGCAGATGATTCTGCCGTCAACAATCGATCAATGATAATTCTTAAGATGCGCCCATCATAATTTAAATTGGACACTAAATCGTCACATTGTATATAGGGATTGGTAGCCTTTGACTTGGTACACAATATTGTTAATTGTTGTATAGTGTTATTAACGTTCTTTTGATCTTGAATTATGTCACAGATTGAAAATGTGATAGTGGTTCTAAGTATTTCTCTTTGTATTTGTATTTTTGCTTTGCCTAATCCTTCAATGAATAATCCTGATTCAAGATATGTTATTGTGAGTGTTGCTAATTTAATTCCTAATGTGAGGTATGTCAAAAATGTAGCAAGAACTATTGATTTTGATTGTTGTTGCGTTTTAGGTTGACGCTGCTCCAAGCTCTTTACATTCTTTAACTGAATTTGGGAATTTCTCTTGATTTGACAGAATGTGATCTTCTTTAACATTATCAGTGATTGGCAGAAGATATATTTTTTGTATCGTACATTTTACTGTCCCTTTATGGGTTTTAATTGAAACAACTCGGGTTAAGTCATCTGTTCCTTTATGTACTTCTATGACTCTGCCTAGAGGCTACGTTGATTATATTAATGTTTCGTCTTTCAATAGGACTAATTTACCAATTTCTAACTTTGGTATTGATTTTGTCCATTTTTATCTCTGTTGTTGAATATTTATTATATAGCCTTGAAACCACTGTTTACAAAAATCTTACCGTATTTTCTGCACAATCTTCCATCTTTTTAGGCTAGCTTCGCGAAGTTAATAAGACTATCATGCGCTAGAGTGTGAGTGCATTAATGTTTTCAATGTTGTCTGGTTATCGACAGAGTGACCGTGAACTAAGACATTTAATTTGAGTTAAGATCGAACTTAATTCCTCGTATGTCAATTTTTGATCACCTATATTTCTGGCCAGATGGTATATAATGAATTTTAGTCCTGATTCCCAGAGACCACCAAAGTGAGGTGAACCAGGAGGGATAAAATGGCTAGATGATTCTCTATTTGAATCTTTTGTAAAATGTTTTTTTACCTGTAAAATTGGTACCATTGTTTTGCTTTTATTGAGGCTAAATTAAAACACGATCGCACTGTTTTAGGTATATCGCTTTATTGAAATGTTTATCTTATTTTAATTCTTACTCTACCTTAAATACATAAAAATACATTATACATAAATATAATTAAATACATTACATAATTATGTTAATGCGCCGGCAAGCACTAACACAGCAGGGTAGCATGCATACGCTTAATTATCTCACTAATGTGAGGCTAAATTCAATGATGGGAATATGCTGCATAGGCATATTCACAGCCATACAATATTATTTATATGCACATTAATATGCATTTATAGAATTATATATATAGTGTATATAAAGTGTATATATGCTATAGATACACGCCTTTTTATCATTCGTTTGAGTGTTGCTAAGAAACCTTGTCAGATCTGAAGTTAACTCAATGTGAATTGCCTTTGTTGTGAGGCATAAAAAAATAACTGTAAACGCTTTATGCTTAAAACCCATAATTGAAATGCCCTGAATTAAGAGCATTAAATGTACAATGGTCCTGCATAGTCTATGCCGCACATAAACTTCTCATTAATTGAATTTTTACTTTTGCCTTTATCCGAAAACATTTTACACATTTATTGATGCAAGATTTCACAGCGATTGTTCCACGAAAAGTCCAAAATATTTTATGGACGTAGTTTAACGTCAATTTTAATCCTCCATGCGTTTGATTGATTATGAGTTTGTACTTGTTGTATATAAAATTATCGGATACTTTTGATTGTCTGATAAATCTACATTTCTTAATCTGCTGCCCACTCTGCACTATCAGGCATTCTAACACTCTAATACCCCTGCACTATCAACAAATGGGTTTAATGAACACAACTAATTACTTTTTATTAATTGTTTCTGAAGGTTAAGCCTTCTGATGACATCTTTAAAACATTTTTCCACCTGCTTTACCAACACAATTTCCGCAGCATCGATGTCATCTACCGATCTTTCTTTCGGATCTTCTTTCGGCAGTAAGCAGTCGCTGGAAGAAGTTTGTTTAATGATGAAAGTCGATTAAAAAATTCTTTATCATTGGTAATGTCCACGACGATACATATTACAGTTTTGTTGGCTTCTGGAATAAAATTCAAATCAATTACTTCATCATTTTCTAGTCAATTTCCTTCATTCACAATTTTTGTATCATGATTTTTGCTTTAATGGTTGCAGGCGACAGCCATCCAAATGTATCGATTAATATTCCAGCATCACTTAGAATTGCTCTTTTGGTGTATTTTGAACTGAATGATATGATATTTATTTTAAATTCGAATTGATCCAAGTTAGGATACTATTTCATTCCTAAAATTTTAATTGCTTGGTTATTGCATCTCTAACCCTGATTTAATATATTTTATCTGCATATTCATCAACATTTCCGGTTCGTTTGATGCCCATTTTCTTAAATTAAAACCACCCCTCCGTAGGAATTGGATCAATTCTTCTTGTACTTGTTTACATTCTTTAATCGTATTAGCGTCTTCCAAACAATTGTCTACATAAAATTTTTCATTTAAGATTTCACTTGCCAAAGGATAATTAATTCTCTAGTCTTCTGCAAGCTTAAACAACGGTTTGATGGCAAGATATGGGATTGATGCAATACCGTATTTAATCGTGTTCAGTCTATATTCTTTTATTGGTTTTTTCCGATCGTTTCTCCATAAAATTCGTTGAAGATCACTATCATCATGATGAATCAGTATTTGCCGATACATTTTTTCAATGTCAGCCGTAAAAACTATTTTAAACATTCTTTACTGCAATAATAGAACGAATAAATCCTTTTGTAACGTAGAGCCTGTCATCATAATACTGTTCGGTGATTGTCTAAGCTTGATGCCTAAGCTTGATGCACTCGTGCATAAAGTTCACATACTCTTGCTTTAGTGCTGGATTCTGCTCAAGTCGTTTTTTCAGTGAAAGGAGTTGAATCATAATGTCTCTCACAACGCCTT